AAAAAAAAAAATCTCTTCAACCTTCAACGTACTATTTGGAAACCAAATGAAACCCTCCCACAAATTAAAACCAAAGAGAATATGTTTAATAACATCCATAATTAGGTCCACGTTCGGAACCCCAAAAAAAAAAAAAAAAAAAAAAGAAAAAACAGAGAGAGAGCTTAATCAAATGTGATTGGATTGAAGAAATCTTTACTGAAAGTACAGAAAACTTGTGAGCGCTTATATATATGATCACTTGAAGACTATTTTTTGAAACCAAACATTGTACAGATCAAGGCTATCAAGTATTACAAAAAGATTTATTCGATCAATCCAGAAATCTTGTTAAGATTTACAAAAAGATTTTTTGAAAACTTGTCAGTTACATATATTCATATCCAATTCAAGCAAAAAAGACCTAGCTAAGCCTCCCTAAATAGTGATTAAGTGCGAGCGGCATGCACTAAAACAATTAAAAAAAATTAATCGCATTTTCAATTGAACCTACCATTCCACAGGGTTTTGAAAGTTTGAGGGGCCAGTTGATAAGCTTTTTAGTTTAGGTACTGATTTACCAAACGAGAGAATTTTGAGGTAATTCATGAAAAAAAAAAAACCTTAATTATATTAACACGATGTGCCTTTAAAAGAAACATAAATATCAACAAGATAAATCTTCTTTCCACTACAAGAATAAAAATAATCTAATCATTAAGTTATAAGGAGACTGATGTGGACTGTCTATACAATCTTCTTCGTGTCGCGTCTCGGAGGAACGTCATTGAGGACATTAAGGATGTTATTTCATAAGCTCAAAGAGACAATATTTTCTCTGCTTCTCGAAATGGAAATTTCGTTTATTTATTTATTTTTTGTTATGGCTCTATGTCTTTGCCAAGAAAAGAAAAGAAACTCTCCAGACAAATTAGATCATGGCCAATGAAAGTATCAATGCCAATATCATATTTGGTATAATGCCATATCTAGTTTTTGTCATAAATTTTAACTTTTGTAACTTGTAAAAGTAAAATTTTACTTTTTAAACAAGTTAAAACATACCAATTTAAATAAGTGGATATAGCAATTGAAATAGAATTATGCATTGGGCCACAAAATTTTAATATATATATATATATATTAAACATGTTATTTTTTGCATTTTTGGATGTCAAATATAGACTTGACATTGGAATATTAATAAATATAATGGAAACCGGGATCCATGAGGAAATATTACTTGAAATGAAAAAAGAAAAAAAAAAGAACACGAAGAAAATAGAGCTACTTCAGTTCACAATCTCTCCTTTTCCCATGCAAGTTAAATATTTACTACTTTGAGTGGTTTTTTTAGATACACAAAATGTGAATCTAAGCTCGCACCTTTCTAAATTCAAGCTGCTCCACCCACCATGCCTCATGTAGTTTCACCTAATAGTCATATATATATATATATATTGCCAATAACTTTGCATAAAAGTGTAGCTAATTAATCTTGAAATTGGGGCTTAAGAAAAAAAAGTGCAGTTGGAAAATTATAGAACTACTGTAGCACCAGTGTTATAACTGAATGACATATTTATTCATAAAATTAGATAGTACAGATTTATTATTATTACTATAGGAATACATAGATTGTCCTAAGCCAAGTCAAAGTTGCATTCCTTTTACCCCTTTATTTATTTATTTATTTCACATCTATATATCTCCATTCTGCAGATGATACTCCAGCCGGCAACGGCAACAGCTGCTTCTTTAGTTCTGCAAAGACCACACACAAGATCGTTTATTTTTATTAATTAATTTAATGTTCCTTAAGCATAACCATTCACAAGCAAATAAATTCTTTCATATATACTAAACTGAAGACGTATATAAATCTAACAGTGTGTGATCAGTTTAGGTTTTTTTTTTTTTTTTTAAAAATAAAAAATAAAAGAAAGAGAATCGAGGAAAATAAATACAGTTTTTTCCTAAAGATAAAAAGAAAACACAATAATAAAATTTTAACATCATGACTTGCCTTCCTCTTGGGGCAGCCCTCATTGTCGCTCTCGCCGTCGCTGCTGCTGCTGCTGTCACTGCAACTGCTGTTTCCAGACACCTTATCCATGATCTTGTGAAGCAAGCTGTTCTTGTGCTCGCCCTTCTTCTTGGTCTTGGTGTTGCCGCCGCACCCTGCCGCGGCAACACCACCGTTAGTCGCCTTGTGGCCGTGGCCACTAGTATGCCCGGTCAGCTTGGCCATGCCATGGCCACCACCATTGTGGTTAGTGCTAGTCTTGGTCTGGCTGTCGCAGTGAGTCTCAGTTTTGGACGTTGCATGGTCGGGATGTAGCTGGGCCTGGGTCACGCTGTGGCAATGGGCCTGGGCGGTGGTGTGCTGTGAGTCTTGGTGTTTTCCAGTGACCCAGCTCGCCATCTCGGCCACTTTCTGGCCCAAGCCCGAGTGGTTGCCGTTGGTGTTGGACTTCTGCTGGCAGGTGTCGTTGGCGGGCTTGTTGCATTGCAGTGAGGCCATTTTGATTGCTTTGGAGAAATGGGTTTGCTGAAAAATATGGTTTTCTTGAGCACTTGCTTGAGATTTTTGTTCCGTGCTGAAGAGAAAACAATGTGAAGAGGTCTTATATAGGCATTTCGTCCAACATGTTGTGGGGGCTCGAATCTTTTCTTTTATTTATTTATTTATTTTTCCTTCTTTGGTCTAGAAATTGCGATTTTGCTTTGACATCGCCATAATGAAGTGAGAGATAGTGATACACTGATACTTATTCCATTAGACGAAAGAAAACAAAAGTGTCTTGTCTTCTTTTTTTTTTTTTTTAGCCAATTCTTTCTTCTCCCACTGAATAAATTCCATGTTTATTTTTCATCGTTGGTGACTATGTCAAGGTTGTAATACGACGCCCATTAAAAAAAAAAAAAAAAAGGTTGTTCTATACATACTACGTTTGTTCTTTATTTTATTAACAACGGTAGTTCTTCAACTGTGAGATTATTCATACTTCAAATTAAATTTTAAAAAAATATTCGCCCATTTCGATGTCAAAAATCAAAACAAAAATTGAAAAAATAATATATAAAAATTAAAAATTTAGGGACAAAAATATAGAACAAAAATTATTCTCAGCTTTTTTTTTTCCCCCGAATTAATTGTTCTTAGCTTTTGAAGAGATCAAACGGGGCATCAAATTATTGTCCGCCGCATGATTGAGACTTTTGAGTGTCCACGTAGAATCCCAAGCTAATAAAAAAAATGGAACGTCTAGTGTCTTCCGGAAATCAAAGAGAGAGAGAGAGAAAAAAAAAAAGAAACATAAAACGAAAAATTGTCTCAAAATGAAAAATAGTAATTGGATTGTAATACAACAGTGGTGAATAACATATTGTCATGTCATGTAAGATATGAGACTATAAGAGTAGGAATTTTTTTTGGAAATTTATCCTCATTATAAATAAAGCTGTAAGCCCATAAGCTGCACGTGGACCCCACCAGTAAGGCCTACTTTTTGTCTCTAATTAATAAGGATAAATTCCTATCTAGGACTGCTCATAATAATACAATTTAAAAATAAATATAAAAATAAATAAAATTAAACATGAATTTAAATAAAATTGTAACTTGAATTTTAATTTTTTTTAAGTTTTATTATAAAAGAACAACCCGAGACTTTGGCATGCCTTAGAGCACTTAGAATTGATCAAATTAGTGGTTCTTCCTCGTGTCGTCAGTTGTATTGAGCTTATATGTCTAAGTTGCAATCTGTTTCGGTGGTATGGATTCCTATAACTTGTAATGCAGTTGCAGATCATCTTAGTAAGTGGGCTTTAGCTTCTAAGTCCAAAGGCTTTGTTACTACTGGGATGTTGGCCAACCTTTTGCTCAAGGAGCTGTCTGCTTATTAATAAAAGGGTAATTTTAAAAAATACTCTTTAAAATTATACTCCTTTTTATTTTTATCCCTTAATATTAATTTATATACTTTTACCTTTTAAACTATAACGAATTAAGAGTCTGCGTTTTAAAAAAAAAAATATTTTTAGGGCCCGTTTAGTTTGTTGATTCGGGTTGATACGTGACTTTACGTGAGAACTTTTACTGTAGTAAAAAAGTTAAATGTGACTGTTTCTGAGAGCTTTTTACTATAGTTAAATTTAAATTTTAAACTCGAATCGGTGAAATGAACGGGGCCTTAAGAAGGCAGTTACTTAAAGGGATGAAATATGTAATTTTCTCTTAATTTTAAAATCCAGTTCAAAGGCTTTGGTTTATAAACTTTAGGAAAGACTTGTAATTGCTCGATATGTGTAGATACATACCAACCATATGTACGTTCATAAATATATTAATAGACGTCCTAATTTCTCAAACGGCCATTCCATCACTACACATAAAACACATGGAGAATACGAGTACGCGTAGAAAGGAGAAGAAATATTCAGAAGTGATTTATACGCAAACCAAACAGTCTATAGCTTACTTTTCTGTGAGAGGGACCCAGATCTACCACAAGATATACCCTGAATTAAATAGAGCGTGACCAAAGTTATGTTGGAAAAGTCCAAGCGCAAACAAACATCATGCACTCAAGAATTTCATAAAAATATGTTTGCATATACACACCAAAGAAAGGTCTATAACCCACCCACCCACCTCACACACACTCATATATATATATATATATATATATACATATATATATACACGCGCGCATCTATGACTAATTTCATCCTCTCACTTTTAAGTTGAGGTCTTGAGTTCAAATTATCACTCAAAGTTTATTGGAAAAAAAAAAGGGTGCCGAAGCTCCTAGACTAGGATAATTTATGAAACAAAATCTGTGATTATCTTGATCCTATTGTGTATTATTTGTGGCAGTAATTTACACGAAGGCTGTGGAATTTATTATTCTTTATTACCTCAGAAATAATTTGCAATTTAGGGGATAATTTTCCTCATTAGAGAATATATATATATATATATATATATATATGAAGAAACCCCCCGAGGAAAAGAGAACAAAAGTACCGATCGTGACTAACTAGGAATTTCGAGAAAGGGACTAAAAAGTTTATTTACCTCATGAGCTCCTAATCTTAATTTATTGGTCAAATTGAGCTCCCTGCACGAAATAAATATAGTTGAAACTTGATTTGCGCTATTAATTGTTGAGTGGTAAATGTAAATTAAAGCTCACTAATTATTGTGATTAACACTAAACAGTAAACAACATACATACAAAATATGATCCTTTCAATATATGTACACACAATATATTTACACAGAAAATCTGTCTCAAATTAAGGTACACATATGATGAAGTCTCAAATATTATATTGAGCATTAACAACAAACAATTGTAGTTTTCTTCCAAATCCCTTTTCGCAGAACTAATTTCTTGGTACTAATTGACCATAAATAGAGACATGTTATAAATGTTCCCAGCAATCCCTAGGAAAATATTCATACTTTCATAATTTACCGAAAATTATTATTTAATGATAAGATATCTCTCAATGTGTCTTCAACTTCAATTAACTAGTATAAAACATGTACGGTTTGGTACAACTAGATCAAGTTTTGCCATGGGCAAGAAAAACGGCCGGTGCCCCCCAAAAGAAGATTAATATATTCCTGCTATATACAAACAAAATCATTCCAAAAATCTTTGTCACAAAGATGAGCAGTACTATAATATTTGTTCTATCAGAATTACCCAAAATGGTCCATTAACTATTTATTTATTAATTAATATGTATTTGGAGATCATATCAGGTGGTATCTACAAGTCAACCTAACATGACTGGTAAGATTCAACAGTCGTTCCATGCAAGTATAGCACATTAACTGTACAAACTTAGTAAACCTTAATTCGTCATATAAAAAGATATAACAAAATATCATCAAACGAGTTCTCCACTTTCTTTTACCTCAATAATATTATTATACTCTCTCTCTCTCTCTCTCTCTCTCTCTCTCTCTCTCTCTCTCTCTCTCTCTCTCTCTCTCTCTCTCTCTCTCTCTCTCTCTCTCTCTCGTCACCATATTGTAGCTAGGGATAAAAATATATATCCTGTCTAATTCTTTCAACTTATTGTCCAATTGAAGGCTAATTTATAATTAACTTTCTCTAGGTAAGTATTATATAATTACGTACCAAGTAGTACTAATTAATTATAGTCTTCTTCCCATAATGAAGACCAAAATTTTTCTTTCCGGAAGAAAATCAATATGGATAAACTTCGTCCTTGTAAACAAGCGAAGACCAATAATGCCACGAAATCCAACGTCTCCGAAGGTTTGAGTTATTTCTTTCACTTTTCCAATCTCTTCTAACGTTACTTATTCTTCATCAGTTTTCTTCATGAGTTATGATTTTATTTTCTTGATGTTGTCTGTCTATTAGCTACCAAGAATAAAGGGTTCACACTTCACATCTATACATTTGTGCGCCCTTTATTGTCACCCGCCTGATTTTTCATTTTCGGTGACACAAACTATTCAGACAAATTCACTGATTGTATTTATATATATATATATATATATATATATACACATGTGCTATCTTGATCAAAAAAATAATATTTAAATATGTGTGCTAATTAATTAGACTTAATCATGTTTCTTGTAATTTGTTGGTAATAGAAGTGAGCAGTATTGAGTGGGAGTTCATAAAGATGACTGAACAAGAAGATGATCTTATTAATAGGATGTACAGGCGTGTTGGAGACAGGTAATTAAACTATGAATTTAATTTTATTGACCAATCTATATGTACTGTCCATATATATAGTATATATATATATATATTCTCTATTTATGTTCCATAAAATAATGCCATTGAAATATTCATTAAAATTAAAGAATTACGGAATTAGGAAGAAAAGCCTACGCTTTCAAAAAAAAAAAAAAAAAAAGCCATCTTTTGGTTAAATTAATAATTTGATAGTTTTTCAGAAACATTGCTACCATCAACACATAATAATTGATTAATGGTTATTCTTTGACACTTCTTTATTTGCACATAGCATATAATATAATATATCGATCCACTTCATGAAGAAGCTTTCATGCATATGCAATATTTATATGTTTGTACGCACACATACAGATACATGTTGATCAGGAGTAGTGCATATGCATGATCTGATTGTCGTCTCAAATCCCAATTCACCACTCAGAAGCCATAGGATATAATATTTGTTCTTTTGGTGTTAAAACTAATTATTTGTCAAATTCATTTGTTTCGTAGGAAATGCATAGATATATATATATTTATATATACACATAAATTAGTATACATATGTATAAGTGCCCCTCTTTATTAACTTATAATTGTCATTTAGTCAATGTAAAACGGCGTTAAGAAAAAACTCTTCGATTTACAAAATAATTACAGAATATTTGTGCCCTAAATATAGACAGCTACAATAATATTTAATACGGTCTATGTATCTATAACACAACGATGTTTAATTTTTTTTAGTGTGTTCTTGAACGTCTAAATTAGGGGATGTATTAGAATCCCACATTAGCTGGAGATATTGGCATGATCCACTTAATAAGGTAAAGACAATCTTCCCCTAACAAGCCGGTTTTGTTAGGTTGAGTTAGGCCCAATATCCTTTGATTTCTATAAAATGGTATCAGAGCAGGCCTAGTTTTGCAATGTTGGTTCCTCCAATATCGACTTATTCGCGGCGGTTTGGCATAGTCCACTGTTGTGAAAAATCGTAACGCAAGTATACGCTATCGCAATTAAGTAATATAATAGTGAATAAGAATATCGTCCCACGAGGATTGTTGTTTACTAATTACTGAAATTGTATTAACCCTAATTTTATTTGGATACTTGAAAAGAGAGTTTATAAAATTAAGTAAAGCAAAACTAAAATAATTAAATAAATTAAACAATGCTAAGCAATGGGTGAATATTCAATAGATTAAAATTCTAGGGTTTCCGATTTCACCAAATTAATCATGTTCAAATTCTCATAATTCAAGCAAATTAACATTCAATCCTATACTGACAGCAATTTCTCTAAAGCAATTATTATTCTTTCTCAAGCAACAATAATATTAATCCAACAAGCAAAATCTACATCTCTGTCAGACTTCTAAACCTGTTGAAAATCATTAAGTGCAAGAAATTCAAAAGAACTGCACAAGCATCATAGATATCTCTATCCTATGAACAACTCATGGTATTTCAATTAAGAGCTTATTCAATTATCACCTCTCAGTCTCAAATCAAATACAAAATCATGTAATAGTTGGCCAAACAATCACAAGCATTAAGAATAAATTGAAATACTCAGCATATATGGATTAAACATCAATTACTTAAAAAGAAGATTGAGAATTCGAACATTCATAATCCGGCTACATCGTAGCCCTAGAAAAAGGAATTAGTTAATCTCTAAACAAAATAAATTCCTAAACAAAGTCTTAATCATTGGAAAAGAAAGAAAA